TTGTTCCATTGGGGTGGAGCCTCTGCCTCAGGCCTGCAGCTAAAAGACTATTTGATATGTATAAAAAACAGCCAGGATGGGGGAACAGGAAGAGTTATCAGAGTGGGTGAAGAAGAAGCAAGCTCTCAGATGGAACTGAACGGCTAAGTGCTGACAAACTCAAGTGAATTTGAAATGAATTTACCCTGCAAAGCCTGTCACATACTGTGTCAGATTTAAGATTTTAAAAGAATTTAGCTGGGCCCCAGTGCCTTGCACCTGTTATTCTATCTACTTAGGAGCCTGAGATCTAAGGATGGAGATTTCAGAAAATAATGCCAAGACTTTGGTTTCACAACAAAGAGCTCAAAGTAAGCTATGGCTCAAGTGAATCTTTAATCATTCAGTTTTTTTATTAGACCAAAATACTCTTTACCACCACAAAAATCATCACTTGAAGAGAAAATGGCATATCAGACTCCAAATAACTAATTTCCACGTGAATGAATGAGGTCCATCAGTTTATAAAATGATGAGTAACTGATGAGAACTTTAAAAAGTACATTGCCTTACTACATATGCTTTTACAAAATAAGCACTTCTTTTATAAGTTGAATCCTGGAACAGGAGGGAGAGAGTCAAGTGATAGAGCACAAGCAAGGAGCTCAAGCTCAAGCAAGAGTGAGGCTCCTGGGTTTCAGGCCTTTTGGTAGTGTGCATACACACACACCAGTTAAAATTGAAAGCCTCCAGTAATATCCCTCAATCAATGTTAGATAAAAATGAATGATGTACGTACACACACACACACACACACACACACACACACACACACACACTTACACATAAACATATGTGTATATAACTTCATTTACCCACATAGCACTCAGAGACTGGGATTTGGTTTCTTCTTAAACCAGAATTCTCTTTAAAATGATAGGCTTTAAAATTATGAGTCACTGTATAGGATGTAGTTGTCTTCTTTTAACATATAGTAGAAAGAACAAGTCACTGAGGGAAGTATTCTTAAACCTGATGTTTTCACCCCTAGCTGGCACATAGAGATGTCAGGTACAGTTAACAAAAAAGGGAAGATTTCTGTTGGGAACCAGGGGGAGGTAGCCATGGGACAGAGCAGAGGAGACATCAGCAGAAAACAATGAAGCTCTCACTTCCAAGACAGCTTGCCACTATGTGAGGCTGAGGCTAGTCTCCCAGCCTGGTCCCCTCATTACCTTAGAAGGAGCCCCTACCTCAGCACCATAGCTTCTTCACCATATTCCTTTGAGGGAAATGAAACTATGATAGATGAATGTGGAATTGGCAGAGAAAATAGGGAATCAGGCATTAAGAAGGATGTGACCTTCAGATGAAAATGGAAGTTAAATAAATGCTACTACACAAAGAGTATTAAAATACTTTAATACTCTAAACACATTACTATTTTCTGAGATACTCATTACTAGCCTGTAAAGTGCCACATCTAATAAAAAAAGATGTGTGTGTTACTAGATTTCATGATTATAGTCATTCTAGCTAGGGTGAGATGGAATCTCAATGTCTTGATTTGCATTTCTGTTATGGCTAGAGAAGTTAATAGCTATAATCAAGAAATCTAGTAATGACAAATGCTGGAGCAGAGGTGGCCAAAGGGGAACCCTATTGCATGGTTGGTGGGAGTATAAAGTTGTTCATTCACTTTGGAAAGCAGTATGGAGGTTCCTCAAATGACTCCATATAGAGCTCCCCTATTACTTAGCAACCCCACTTTTGGGCATTTACCCAAATGATCACAAACAAGGTCATACCAAAGCACAACCATGTTTATCACAGCATTATTCACCATGGCTAAGATATGGAACCAACCTAGATGCCCCTCAGCATCAAGAAGTGTTATATACGTACGTACGTATGTACGTGTGTATGTATGTATGTATTTATGTATGTACATATACTGGAATTCTATGCCTCCATCAGAAAGAATGACATTGCCTCAAAAAATTATATTTTGTGAAATAAGCCACACCCAAAGAAACATAGGTCTCATGGTTTCCTTTGTTTGCAATGACTAGTACATGTCTAGGCAAGCAGAGAAGTTCAAAGGCCATGTACATATGACCATAAAAGATGATTTTTACTGAAATGTATCCCAATCACAAGTATTTTTTTCTTACTTGCTATTGCTTTTAACGTAATTCTAATGCACTATGTGCTTCTTTTGTTTGTTCTTTCCTCATGGTATCACCCCTGTATTCACTGTACTTCACCCCAATATTCTGCATTTTGAACATACATTTTTTTTTTTTTGTAATCTGGGGAGGGAGGGATATAACAGAATGCTTAAATGGGGATGCAAGTTGACCCATTGTGATGATGAGGTGTACAGGACACTAGGTTGAAAACAAACTTGACAATGTTGGGGGAGGAGGAGTTGGGGAGTTGGGGAGGGAAGGGATGGTAGGGGAAAAACAAAGGAGGAGGTAACAATCCTTGACAGCTAATGTACTCATTCCCCTACTCATAAAACTATAACCCCTCTGTACTATATTTTTTACAAATATATATGTATATATAAATGTATGTATGTATGTATATATATATATATATATATATATATATATATATGATTTTGTGTCTGGTTACCCGTAACTTAAGACAGTAATTCTAACTACTAACTACTCAAAAGGCTGAGATCTGAGGATAGAGTTTCAAAGCCAGCCTGGGCAGGAAAGTCATTGAGACTCTTATCTCCAATTTAACTACCAGAAATCCAGAAGTGGGGCTATGGCTCAAGTGATAGAGCGCTCATCTTGATTTAAAAAGCTCAGGGACACCACCTAGACCCAGAGTTCAAGCCCCATGACCGAACCTTCAAAAACATTGAGTGTGATCAATCTTTAGGCATTTCCTTGTGATTGTAAATGCACAGTCTCAATGTACTACAAGCTCTCTGCAAATGGTTTTCCTTCCCCAGCATTCAGCATGCAGGAAATATAGGCATGCAGAATTATAATCAGCTTGAAATGTTGCTTTCACAGAATTAATATGGCCTATTAGAATCATATTCTAGGAAAAGGACAGGTTGGATTCCCACTGAATGAGTTATATGTGTAAGTTTTAAAGTTTTAAAGATTAACTTGTCTGTTAGAGTAATTATAAATAATTTGACATGAGTAATTATAACTAATTTGAACCCTAACTGACATACTTTCTTTTGCATTTCTTTTAATCCTTTAGCAAAACTGCAATGGAAACAAAACAAGTACCTCTAAGTGGATTAACAATTAAAATGTAAGATAAAATTTACATTGTGTGTGTTTGTGTGTGTGTGTGTGTGTGTGTGTGTGTGTTTGACATGAGCAAACAGAGAACACTGCAGTGGCATCCAAGTGAACACAGATTTCCTTCAATACTGTTCAGACAGGAAATATGTAACAACTCAATTAGGTGTCTAGCACAGGCAAGGTCCAATCCCCAAAACAGTGAAGGAGAAAGAGAAAGGGAAAAGAAAAGGGAAGATGTGGAAGAAGAAGGAAAAGAAGAAAAGAAGGTGGAAGACGCGGAGGAAGGAGTAGAAGGCCAGTGCAGGAAGAGGACAAGAGGGAGGAGGGAAGAGGGGAAGCAGATATTGGTGAATCATCATTCCTACAATTTGCCACTTAGTTACGGCATGTGGACTCTCTGAGGGAGAAGATTATTTTGGAAAAACATTTCATTCTCTTTACCTGTACAAAGAGGTCTCAATTCAGTTACATTATTCAGAGGTAACAGGATGTAGGAAGAAACAGTTTTCTGAAAGCCTTCAGCAGAAAACAATGAAACTAAGACTCCTAGGAGTCATTATCCCACCAAACTGCTTCTCCCATGGTGCTTCTACCACACCACGTGAGAGCCTCAATTCTACCCTCTTCAGCAGATTGGATGGAGCTCCTGCCTCACAGCTATGGTTTCTGAACCCTAACTGAGAGCAGAAAGGAGAAGTTTAAGGTGATGGTGAGGAATGGAGGAATGATGAAAGAATCAGGAATCTAGGCAGATTGAGAGGGGTCACACCTCCAAAGTGCAGCTGATCGAAAGGACTAATCACTGTTGCCACTGTCCTTTGATTTGGTTGTGAACACCACAAGCGTGAGTCTTGAGTTTTCTTACTTTATCATTAATAGTTTTTTTAATTAAAAATAACAAGTTTCAAACCAGGTGGAGGTTGAGATGTAAGTATTGTGTTTTAAAGCCAGACCTGCCTACGAAGTTCATGAGCCTCCTATCTCCAATTAACCTGCAAAGTCTGGGAAATGGAACTGTGGCTTGTATGGTAGAGCTTGAGCCTCGAGCAAAGAATTCAGAGACAGTGCCAGGGCCCTGAATTCAAGCCGTCTCTGGGAAGACATTCTCAAGAGACCAGCTCTGAGACCAGCTCCATCAAGACTGAGGAAGGGACTGAGGCTTGGGACACCTGCCTCACACAGTGGCATTACTGTGTTACAGTGAGGAACACTTGTAGCATTCAGTTTTCTGCTGGAAGTCACCTCTGCTTCCTGCGTACTGATACCTTATGCTCGCTTCAATGGGATTGTCTTTCTTGAGCCAACTCTAGGACAGTCTCATATCAAATCAAGTGATAAAAGTCGAGGAGATAGGAGGTTTACACAATGACTCCTTTTATTGTTTGTTTGGTTTTGCCCCTATATATTTTTGGCCACTAGTTTGCTCGTGCATACTAGACACCTCAATGAGCTGTTACTTCTTTTCTCACTCAAGTAAGGAGACAGACTGTGGGCATTAGTGTCTCATGCCTATAATTCTAAGTACTCTTGAGATCTGAAGGTCATGGTTCAAACCTAGCCTCGGCAGGAAAGTCAAGGAAATTCTTATTTCCGGTTAACTTCCAGCCTTGATTGGAGAAGCTAAGAGAGAGCAGCCAGGCCTTAAAATCAAGCCTCAGTAGCACCAACACAAAAACACAAAAAGAAAAGACGTATGCCTCCCTAGCACAAAGACAAACACAGGTTTTAAGTGCAAGGATGGAAAAAGAAATTCCAAGAATGCAACCCAAATGTAAGAAGATGTCAAGGTACTCCTATCTTTCAAGGACAACTTGAAGATCAGATGACATAAAAGTTACTTCATGTTGCCAAAGGACAATGTAATGATAGAAAACAAAAAGGTCCCTAAGCATCAATGCACCCAATTTCATGCAACAAACACAACTGAACATAAATGAGTAGATGGACCCCAATCATTTTAGACCCTTCCTAAATCCACAAGGAAATCAAAATCTAAAATCAACAAGGAAACCTGATTTCAGTAATGACATAGAACAAATGGAAGAAGACACCTGCAGGATATTTCACTCAACACGCACAGAATAAATATCATCTAGCAACCCATGAAGCGTTTTCCAAAAGAAATAGTATGGACATAGGGGCAGTAGTGTCCTCTTTTTTCATTTTCTTTTCTTTCTCTATTAGTACTATAGAGTAATTATACAAAAGAGTTTCTTTGTAGAGTATAAAGGAAGTCTTAATAAGTACGCATAAGAAAAGATTCTATTACTGCATGTCATCATACCACAGTGGAATTCAACTAGAAATAGACAGCAAGATAAACTACAGAAAAAGTTGAAATACGTGGAGATCGAGCAAAACACTTTTGAATGATTCGTGTGTTAGTGAAGAAAGGGGGAATATGTAATCAAGTCTAGAAAATCTTGAAGATGTCTGACAATATGCTTTGTTTTCATCCTTTAGTGATATATCATTTGATCCCACAACAGGACTTGAGGAAGGAAACAGCAATGAAAGGTGAGCTCTAAATACACATACACTCTCACCTATGTGATTTATACGTAGTTACATGTATGCCAATACAGACACACAAGAAAGCATATTCAAAAGAAAAGAAAGTGATTGAGATTAAAGAACTTCATTGGAAGTATTGATGACAATGCAGGGTCTTTGTGATTTTTTTCTAAGATTCTTTTGCTGTAATATCTCTATTTTAGCTGTCTGAAAAGAGAACTGTTAAGAATGCATGTTACTCCTAACTTATTGTAGTACCCAAAACAATGTGGTGCTTTGATGGAAGCCTCAGCAGAGTAAGAAACTGCTCTCCAGTGGCTCCACCTATAGGATAAAACAAGGTATTACTTGCCAGGCTCTTTCTCTTTTGATAAATGAGAAAAGGCTGGATATTAGGGGATTTTTTTTTTTTTCTGGAACTGGGGCTTGAACTCAGGGCCTGAGGCACTGTTCTTGAGCTTCTTTTTGCTCAAGGCTAGCATTCTACTACTTGAGCCACAGTGCTACTTCCAGCTTTTTCTGTTTCTCTGGCACTGAGGAATCCAACCCAGGGTGTCATGCATGCTAGGCAAGCACTCTAGCACTGAAACCATGTTCTCAGCCCAGACTTTTTAACTTGAAATATGTTTCACTAAAATATCTTACCTCTAAGGTGTGTTTGCAGCCTGCAACAAAATTCTGTCTAATTATATGCTGGATGTCAATGTCAAGAGATGATTATTAAAAGACACGAAATTTACTTCCCATGTTCATCCCTGATGTCTCTCATTTTATTGCTGTGAGAACTAGGCTGGCCAAGCTATAATGACTTAATAGAGTGTATAGGATACACTCTATTAAGTCCCTTTAACATGTAATTAATTCTGGAACATGCTACTTAGGCTTCCTCTCTACATGAGAAAACGATTTTATATTGTGCTTAACACTACTAAAAATTAATAATATTTTAATTTGACTTTCTAACAATACCTTGAAACCTATTCAATTCATTCCTTGATTATATAGTAAATACTACAATCAGCTAATTTGAAGTTTGCTTAACATACGTGAGAGAAAGACTTCAAAGTGCTTAAGAGTGCAATTCCATAAATATTTATGGAACTGAATTCTTTTTCCTGTGCCCATTCCTGTATGTAGAAATATATAATCACCTACTAGTTGAAAACCTCATCAACAAAAGTCTTACACTCAAAGTGGAGTTTAGTAGGTTTGTGGCCTCAAGATTGCTGGACAAGCGCTCTACTACCACAATCAGTCTTCTAACCCTTCTTACTTTGGTTATTTTTGAGATAAAGTTCCACTCTTTGCTCTGACTGGCCTGGCCTTTAATCCTTGGAAGTCACCTCACTGAGCTAGCAGAAAGAACAGGCACAGATCATCACACCTGGCTTGTCTTGTTGAAATAGGCTTTGAGAATTTCTTTACTTGGGCTAGCTTTGACCTGTGATCCTCCTAAGTCTCATGAGTAGCTACCATTACAGCCGTGCAGCACCGCACCCATCCCAAGTGGTCCTTCAGGGACTTAGGTCAGTCATGCCTTCACTGAGGTTTAACTATTACATTCTGAAGCAATTACTGATTCATGCATCTTGAGAAATTCTCAAAGTTAAAGCGATTACACTGACAGGCTTGTCATTTTATTTCCATTTTGTTCTAACTTGCAGTGTTATTTGGAGGTACCTATATAACATGAAGTATATTGATTTGGTGGGAATGTTAGTCACTCATCAATGCTTTTGTTGGATAAAAACCAAGTCATTTTTGGACATTCCTATGTACTATCCTCCTTCCTACCACTGGCCATCATAATCTTAAATAATAACATTTTCCCATCTGACCTGGCTTTAATAATTGTGAAACTGTAAGGAAAACTCTATTTATGTCTCTATTTACTTCAGGCTCTTGGGACTATTGCTCATTTTTGTTGATCTTGCATTGATGGTTACGGATATTGCAGTCACTTCAAGCAAGCTTTATATTCCTTTGGAATATAGAAGCATCTCCTTTGTGATTGCTCTCTATTTTCTTGTGGACATTCTTCTTCAAGTCTATGTAAAAGGGTAAGTTTTATTCTTTTCTTGAGCTTAAATCCAAATTGTGCTCTTATAACCCTAGGCTGTTTCTTCAACCAAGTAGCTCAGGACCACTCTTCCCCTTAACTGTGTTCTGTAAACTCCTATTAAACTCCTTGCTTTAACACTAAAAATATTAAAAATACTACAGTAATTAGCAGGTCCACCCAACCAAATGTGCACCTTTTCAACATTATTCTTGGAGTCATGGTCCAAATCCAGATTCTCATTGACCAGCTTTAATCTGGTTTATATTGCAACAGACTCTCCCCTGGTGTATTTTAGAAAGTACCCAACAGTTAAAGCTTAAAGGATTTTGAAAGGGGCTAAGAAATTAATTAATGTGTCAACCTGTACCCTAAGAAGAAGGAACATGTATGTGAGGTCTCTTTATTCGTAACTTCATTGTGACTTGAAATTCCACTAAGATTGGATGGTATATGAAATACTAGATACTAGATCCTGCATAATCCTAAATTCATTAAAAGGCAAACTTTTGAAAACATCTAGAGGTGATCTGGGGAATGCTTATCTCATTAGTGAGATGTGGTATAGCAGGACAGTAATTGCTTTTTCCCTTTCCTGCTTGCTGGATTTCTGAGAAGGTGGGGATGTGAGACAAGCCTTAGAGATAGGCTGCTGTGGGAGTAAGGGACCTCCTAGCCTTCCTTTCTCCAGATCTTTTCAGAAGGCAGTTTGTGTTCTTTCCCTGATGACTTGTTCTCCTTATGCTTTTGAGCTAAGGAAAGTGATTCAGTGCCAGGATAGTCAGAGCCTGCAAAAGGCTGCCGCAAAGTGAGAGGATGCTTTCCCTGGAGGACTATGCTCACCTGTGCAGGAGCCAGTCTTGGAAAGGAGCATGTGGTAGATGCAAGTCTGTCTTTCTTCCAGTAGGCCTTGGGAATGCAGGATGGGTGCAAGGCCAGATCATGAGTTCACAAGAGCTGCTCCTACCCCTCTCATAAGCTCCTCATATACTCAGAGCCTACTGCTCTAAGGATATTATGAGGAACTGAGCTCAACAGAAATGTACACTTGCACTTTTCTTCTCCCAACTACATAGGAGAAGGCAGTGCATGTCTCTTGTCCAGTACTGTGGGTAGATCACTTACTTACTAAGTTTCAATTGCCATGCTCTAGGCAAGTGTGTAATAAATACAAATTTACTACTTGAAAACTTTCCACAAATATTATATTTTACCATCATCTAATCTAGACAATGTATTTGAAGAATCTACTAGAGTACCGATTTTAATGAAGTGGAATCCAGGAAATTTTTTGTTCCTAAGATTTTCCTTTATCCTCTTGGAGAAGATAACCATTTTCATTCTCTTTTACAGGAGCAAGCATTATTTTTCTGACATACTTAACATCTTAGATGCCGTCATCATAGGAATCATTCTACTTATCGATGTCACATACATATTCTTTTATGCTGGATTTTTTAAAGATATTCAAAGGTAGGGAACATAACTGCTAGTTTTACTTTCTTAAATTTGTTTCTTTATTTTTATTTTTCTTGTCTTTAATTCTGTATATTGAACAGTTTTCTGCTTAAGTTCGGTACTTAATAACCTCTTTGAAATGAAATATTTAGAGACGGTACATAGATTGAATGGTAGAGGCCTGCTTAGCAAGTGTGAGGACCTGAGTTCAAATGTGAGTACCACAAAACATGAAAAAAAAGGAAAATGTTGTTACATTTTCATACCCTAGGAAACCTAAGGATGACAGCATTTAGTTTACGGCCAGGAAAAGATGTATTCACTAAAGTACCTTCACTTGGATACTGAAGATGGAGCATCATTTTGAAACTCTCCCAAAATTCCCCTTTGTGTTTCAACTACAAACTCATTACTCTTGAAGCTCTACCAGTCTGAGCATTTCCATAATCATGAGTGTATTGACATGAACATGTGTAAAGTTTGAGTGACTCCAGTCTTAATTCTCTAAAAAGTAGCAACTGGAAACCAGGAAAGTGACGTATACGGCAACCCAAAGTATGAATTTTGCAGTGTGATTCTGGTTAAAAATGAAGAATTTTAAGGCAAAGTTAAAGCAGGAAGGGATTAGATAGTGAAATTTTAGTGGATGAAGGGTTGATGTCTGCCTGCCCGTCTCTCTGTCTCTGTCACTGTCTCTCTAGAAATGAGATAGAAAAGTACAAATGTATATTTGTAGATTGATGTTAGGGGTCTTTTAGCTGTATCAGTAGAAGTCAAAGAAGTAGATTCCTTTTTACCTTACTTTCCCAGAGCTCCAATGTGATCCCCAAGTAAATATGTAATGTGATAGGCTTGAGAGCTTGAAAATAACCTCAGTCATTAGGGTTCTCCAATGGGCCACCTCAACATCACTTGTCATACAAGAAAGCACTCTGGGCTCCACCCTTGGCCACTGGGTCTTGCAACCTGTGGTTTAACCACTCCTCCCAGATGACTCTTGTTTGTACATGTCCACACCAGCCAATATGCTCGGGAACTATCTCAGTCTGCTGCCTGCCTGATATGCATGGAGTAGCTGTAGGGAAGCTACTGATGTTACTGAAGGAGTAACACAAGTATACAAGAAACTAGTTCATTTGGGGGGAAAAATAAAATGTGCTCATCTTAAACTCGTATATTTAGTCTACAAATTCCAATGGGTTTATTACTGTTTCTCTAGATTGTAATTTCTCAACTTGAGTATATTTGTATTTTAGAGAAGACAAATGTTTACTGCGGCAACGGACAGGAGGGAAAAAATTCTCAAAATCTTCCTCAATTTCCATTAGCAGCATTCCTAGATCTGATTAGCATCTGCATCCACTTGGTTGTAACAACTAAAAGTATGTCCACATGTTACCAAATGTCCTCTGGGCATAGGAGTAGAGCTGACTTGTAGAGCACTAGTGTAGCCTGCGAAAGCCATGGTGTGGATGAATAGCAACACATACAGACATAAGTATTTAACTTCCACATGGAGGAACTCTTCTATTTCTGAACTAAAAAGGAATCTTTTCAACTTTATCTATAAATTTATTTAGAATGTCTGTGTTCTTTCGACTACTGAGGCTTGTAACACTTATGCGAATATTCCATCTTGCCAATCAGAAAAGACATCTAGAAAGAGTAATCAGAAGACTGGTAAGTGGGCAGAACATGGTTTCTTCCTATACATGTAAGACTTTTCCATAGCAAAGTAAGAAACCCTAGGTCTCCTTGGCTCAGGCTGAAATTTTCTTAATAGAGACCCAGAAACACAACAAATGAATGAAAGGTTGGACAAATGGGATTGCATGAAGTTGCAGAGCTTCTGCATGGCAAAGGACATAGCTAGCAAGATCAATTGAAAGCCCACAGATTGGGAGAAGATCTTCACTAGCCATACAACGGACAAGGGTCTCATATCTAAAATATACCTGGAACTCAAAAAATTAAATCCCCCAACAACAAATCCTCAAAGAAACAACTGCCCAATAATTAAGGGGGCAATGACTTAAAGAGAAACTTCTCTGAAGAAGAAAGAAGGATGGCCAATAGACACATGAAGAAATGCTCAACCTGCCTAGCCATAAAAGAAATGCAAATCAAAACAACATTGAGATACCACCTCACCCCAGTTAGATTGGCAAAAATCAAGAACTCTAATAACAACAGATGCTGGAGGGGATGTGGACAGAAGGGAACCTTACTTCATTGTTGGTGGGAGTGTGAACTTGTTCAACCACTTTGGATAGTAGTGTGGAGGTTCCTCAAAAGACTCCACATAGAGCTCCCCTATGACCCAGCAATCCCACTTTTGGGTATTTACCCAAATGCTTACAAACAAGACCACACTAAAGCTACCAGCACAACTATGTTTACTGCAGCATTATTTAATATAGCTAAGATATGGAACCAACCCATATGCTCCTCAGTAGATAAATGGATCAAGAAAATGTGGTATATGCCTCCATCAGAAAGAATGACATTGCCCCATTTGTGAGGAAATGGAAAGACTTGGAAAAAATTATATTAAGTGAAGTAAACCATAAGGTCCCATGGTTTCCCTTATTTGCAATATCTAGTATATATATGAGTCAAGCAGAAAAGTTCAGATAAGGTGATGTTAGGAAAATGAACCCTAAGATATGTATTTAAATGTTTTTTTCTTTCATGCATTTGTTTTTAAAGCATTTATAAGATTATTTCTTTGTTGCTTTGTATGTCCTTCTTGCACAGTATAACCCCTGCTTTCACTGTATTTGATGTCAGTATAATTTGTGGAGGGGAAGGGGAAAAACAAGTCGTTTAAATAAGCATACAGGTGGACCCGTTGCAACAATGAGAAGTACAAGTTGTCAAGTTGAAAATGAACTTTACAACTTTGGTGGGGGTGTTGGGAGGATTGGGTGGGAGGATGGGGGGAGGCTGGGAAGGGATGGGAAGGGTAAACAAAGGAGGAGGCTACAATGCTTGATAAGAAATGTACTCACTATCTTGCCCATGTAATTGTAACTCCTCTGTACAGTATTTTCACAATAAAAAAATCTTTCTGGTTATATTTCTATTTTTACAGATTAATCATTTTTGTTTTAATTACCAGGTGTCTGGTAACAAGGGTCGATATGAAAAGGATGGATTTGATCTAGATCTCACCTATATCACTGGTTTGTGAAACTTTAACTGTTGATTTACTTATATTAAGTATATTACTAGATTTTGAAGTTTAACACATGATTGATTTACATTCATTTCACATTTTTCTTAGAAGTAATTATATTCTTTTCGAAAGTTGTCCCAAACTACAATATTTATATCTAAGCCCTGTTGGTTTGTGCTTTTTGTTTTTGATTTGTTATTGCTTTTTTTTTTGGTGGTACTGGGTAGTGAACTCAGAGCCTTGTGCTTGCCAGAAAGGTACTCTACCACTCAGGACACACTACTAGTAATGGTTATTGCTTTATGTCCCAGCTTTTCTAAGCAAAATTCTTCTACTCCTATGCCATTAATTGAGATGAAGTCTGCAACATTCTCCTGATTTTTGCCTCCCAAGTAATTGAACTTTCAAGCCTCAGCCAACATGCCTACACTTTTTCCATTCACTATATGCCCTTCTTGTGCTTTCTCTTCCTTTCTTTGCCTTTTTTTCTTTCTTTCTTTCTCTCTCATCTCTCTCTTCTTTCCTTCCTTTCTTTTCTTCTCTCCTTCCTTCCTTCCCATTCTCTTTCTAAATAGTCTTTCTCTATGATGACACAGACTACTGTGTTAGGGTAATATATCGGTAAGTTACCTCTGGACACAAAAATCTCATGCATTTCTAAACAAGACTACTTGGTGTCTACAGAAGAGGTGGCACAGATTTTTCAGGTGGCTCCATTGGCATTTCATTTAGAATTTCTTCCATTTCAAGCATCCAATAGAGGCCTTGTCTTCTCATATCCTAGAGAATGCGGTCACTACTCATCAGCTCAGGTTTGCTGAGCTAAGAGGGCTACAAAGCACTAAGCACCAGTTGACCCCAAGGAATAACGGGCCAGCTTTAACTTCTATTCTATTGCATAATTGAATACATCATCTAGTTTATGTCAGCTTTTATCCTCAAAATTCTTTTTGTCCTTAGAGAAAAGAATTTGGGTAGATGTAGATTAATTTCTGTGATATTTTCCATCTATAATGTCATTTATATTAGTGATTCTTTTGATTTTCAGAACGGCTAATTGCTATGTCGTTTCCATCCTCTGGGAAACACTCATTCTATAGGAATCCCATGGAGGTAAGCCTATTCATGCAACAAGTACAGAACACTATGAACTCAAGAGCTTAGTGTTGACCCAGGCGGGGCAGTATTCTGCAAGCTTATTCTTTCAGCTGAAAAATCATACTAGCTAGCACGGTACCAACTTGCTTTTGCTTATGCAAACCACTGCCAACCTACTGATTGGTAAGAGTAGGCCTTTTCTGTTTCTTATACCTTTTTGAATATTCTCCCACTCCACAGGTCATGTCTTTGCTCAGCTGATTACCTACTTTTCTGTGCAGAAGCATCGTGCTTTCATGCAGTGTCAGGTATTTTTTACTTTGACGGTCTCCATTTGTTGACTTCTAGTCAAAAATTATCTGTGCCAAACCAGTGTTACAAAGCAATTTCCCATTTTGGGGGGAGTTGGAAGAATAATCCTTCCTCTCCAATCATTTGGAGTGTTGTGTATTTCATCGTTGGGCTCCTGTATGTTCATTTGTACCAGTATCATTTATTGAACAGATTGTCCTTTCCCATTATGTGTTCTGTGAACATCTGTTCAAGATTGGTTACTTAGAAATTCATCAATTTATTTCTTCGTTCTCTATTCTATTCTACTGGTCTAAATTAGCTCTAGATTCTATTCCACTTGTCTCTATTTCTTTTTGCTCCATTAGTATTTAAGGTTATTTTTAAACTTGGTGAGAAACTTAAGGTTATGGAAGCCAAGAAAGATAGCATTTTCCAAATTACCACAGGAATAGTAAGTAAAATAACTTTTTTATTTTTTAATCCTTTTAAATTTTAATTTCATTTTATTGTATAGATGCTGTATAGAGGGGTTATACAGTTACATGAGTAAGGCAATGAGTACATTCCTTGGCCAGCATTGTTACCCCTGCCCTTGCTGTTCACCCATATGCCTTCCCCCCCCACCTACCTCACTCCTCTCTCACCCACCAACCGAAGTTGTAAAGTTCAGATCCAACATACTGTCTTGTGGGTATCATTGCTGCAATGGATTGTCCTGTATCCTTGTTTCGGTGTTTGATACTCCCCTTCCCCTCCCCAAATTAGACAAGATGCAGGGTACCAAAATCAAGTACAGTGACAACAGGAGATATACCATAAGGGGTAGAACAAGTGAAATCACAGACTACATTAAAAACCACAACAACAAAGAAAGACCTCTTGTGTCCATTTCTGGGGTTCCTTTCACTTAGCATCATCTTATATGGTCATATGTACGTAGCTTTTGAGCTTTTCTGCTCATCTGATAAAATTATCCTAGATCTATACTACCTATTGCAAATGAGGGAAACCAGGGGACCTATATATCTTTGAGTCTGGCTTACTTCACTTAATGTTTTGTCCATGTCTTTTCATTTCCTAATAAATGGGGCGGTATCATTCTTTCCGATGGAAGCATAGAATGCCATTGTGTAGATATATATATGTATACCACACATTTTCTTGATCCATTCATCTACTGAAGGGCATCTGTGTTGATTCCATATGTTAGCTATGGTGAATAATGCTGTGATAAACATAGTTGTGCTGGTAGCTTTAGCATGGCCTTGTTTGTGATCATTTGGAACCTCCATACTTCTTTCCAGAGAGTAAAATAACTTCTAAAATATTTATTATTTGCTCATTGCCAGTATTTTAATAAAGCTAATATAAGTGCCTGTAGGTTATCTTCCACTTAGCTTAGTGCTTACAATAGTCATCTCTGTGCATTTTGCAATTTTTAACAAAAATGAGCAATTACATTTTGGGCAGGTTTTTTTTAATACAGTGAATTTCAAGAAAACATAACAGTTAAAACTGTCATATATTGCAGTAGAGTCAAATTTTAGCACATTAGTTAAAAGCAGGTTTTGTGTTCATAGGTGGAAATATTCTGAACCATGGAAATGTTTACAGGACCATGGCAAAATGAAGACAATTGCTATGGTTTGGAACTAGCATGTTCTCAAAGTCCTGTGTATTAAAAGTTGGGTCCTTGGCCCATGGTACTGGTGTAATCTTTAGAAGATGGGGCCTCAAAGAAGGATGCTGGATTCCTGGACTCGAGAGTCTGAAAGGGGTATTGGGACCCTTCTTTGTTTCCTCGACACTTATGAAATGAGCAGCTTCTTCCATTATGTGTCCCACTCTGATGCCCCGTGTGTCTCAGGTCCCAAAGCAACAGGACAACTGACCCAGACCGCAAGCAGGCTCTGCCACCGTGAGCTAGCATAAACCTTTTCTGCTTTTGATTAGCTTAGGTATTTTATCACTGTGGCAGAAGCTGGCCTAAATATGTGAGTTGAGCCATATGAAACTGCCAGAGTTTCATCTTTTTGTTTGCCTATATGTTGTATGGCTCAGCCTAAAGCAACATGAAGCAAGAAGTTGGATTCAGTTTCTTCATTAATGCTAATCAGATTCTGGAAGTCTTCATTTCACCTTTTTACTTTGCTGATCAGAGGGGATTTGCATGATCCTGTGTTCACATGTCTTTCAATAAGTTTTCTTCTGGGTTGTTTGTAAGGGTTAGTTTTTATCTTTTTTGTTCCCAAACAGAGCAGTTGCTTTTTCCAAGTGTAAATTCATCCTGTCTTGCTGTCTTCCTGTGGACTGCTGCCTTGATTTTGCCACTGTCGCATGACAGTCAAGATGTTTTGTTATTGTTTTATACTAGTTCTTTAAAGATTGGAGTGACAGTATGGGGAAATAGTATAGACTGCAAATATCTTTCACACTGTGCAGTCTTTCACATTTCATTGCCCATTTTGTCCAATGTAGTATATTGTAAGGTTTTTGTTGTGTAGGGTATTTTGTTTATAATTTTGGATGTTGTGAATTTTGTGTACGGGCGCGCACTCTGTGTGTGTATGTGTGTGTGTGTCTGTGTTTCCTACATTTTATTATGTTTAAGGAATTTACAGGAGGCACTGGTAGCTCACACCTGTAATTATAGCTTCTCAAAATGCTGAGATTTGGGTGGTTGTTGCTCTAAGTACAGTGAATTACGTTTTCTAAAGTGGCAGTCATTAGCAATTTAATTAAACCCACTTACTTCAACCAATTACTCCATAAATTCTTTTGGACTTTGTGGTTGCTAACGAGATCATGTGAAAATAAGAAGTTGTGCTTTTTTTTAACCTTTTAAATCCTTTTTAAACCCCCCACCTCCATTGTTGACCAGACTCTTCATTACAGTTGAATTAGAAATTCAGATAATGACAGATTTCATTGTTGTTTTTTTCTGGTCATAAAGGAAAAGCTGTCATCATGTCACCTGTTATTTCAGGTGGCAGTCTGGGGCTTTAGATCTAAAGCGATGTTTTTTTTAAATCAAGGATGAATGTTGGATTCTATTAGAGGCTTTTCCTGAGTCTTTGAGTTGGTAATATGTTCTTTCCTTTTTTGTAAATTAGTGTAATTAGTTGCACTAATTACTAAGTGATAAAGTAACTTAGATTTGTGAAACCGGTGTAGTTTTACTGTATTAATATTTCGTCCATTCCTGGGGTACTTCTAATGCATTAACACTTAATCCATTGCTGGATTCCAGTTGTTAAGAATTTTTTTTATCAATGTCTTAAGTGAAATTGGCTGTAATTCTTCCTTTCTCACATTAATCTTTTTCACTTTCAACTTCATAAGACCATGTTTTTCCTGTTAATACTCTGGGTGAATCTGTGTAACTTAGTATTATTCTTTCTCAAAGCTATGAGAATTAAGTCTTAGCCAGGCACTGGTGGCAAAATACCTGTAACTTATACAACCTGCTGAGTAACTAGGATTAGAAGTATGAGCCACCAGTGTCTGTGGTAAAATCCTTTGTGTGTGTGTGTGTGTGTGTGTGTGTGTGTGTGTCCAGTCATGGCACCTGAACTCTGGGCCAGGGCGCTGTCCCTCAGCTCTTTAGCTCAAGGCTAGCGCTCTACAACTTGAGCCACAGCGCCACTTCTGGCTTTTTTCTTTTTGCTTATGTGGTGCTGAGGAATCGAACCCAGGGCCTCAGGCATGCAAGGCAAGCGCTCTACCTATGAGCTACCTCCCCAGCCCTTTGTTAAAATTCTTAAACATAATAATAGCTATGAACCCCTACCCCCACACACACAATTTCCTACACCCAAAATTACAAACAAAATAATCTATTTTATAAGTTACATTGTAACTTATAAGGCCTATAAGAGTTACAACAGCCAGGCAGTGGTGGCTCACACCTGTAATCCTAGCTACTAAGGAGGCTGAGATCTGAGGATCTCAGCTCAAATCCAGCCTGAGCAGGAAAGTCTATTAGACTCATCTCCAATTCACTACCAGATAACCGGAACTGGCACTGTGGCTCAAGTGGCAGAGTGCTTGCCTTGAGCTGAAGAGCACAGGGACAGCGCCCAGGACCAGAGTTTAGGCCTTATGATCAACAAAAACAAAAACAAAAAAATAACACAAAGCAAATCTATGCTTAGTGTTTTGAAGAACAATCTCCATACTGATTTCCACAGCGGATGGACTAATTTAAATCCCACCAACAGGATACCAAAGTTACTTCTTGCCTTTCCCCTCCATCCTTGCCAGACTTTGCTGCTGTTTTCTCATGCTTGCTCATCTGATTTGGTTGATGCAACCTTAGTGCAGATTTTATTTATATTATCTTTATGGCTAACGAACTTGCAAACTTCATTTATCTAATGGCCATTTTTACTTCTGAGAACTGTCTCAGTCTGAGTCTCACTTGACATTTAAGATATTTTGTTTTTGACTATGTATACATCCCAGCCAGGTATGCTGGTGGCTCATTCGTATAACTTTAACTACTCAAAGAAGGTGAGATTTGTGGCTCATGGTGCAGTAGCAACCAAGGCAACAAATGCATGAGACAGTTGCCTCCAGTTAACAAGCAAAAAGCAAGAAGTGGAGGTATGACTGAAGTGGTAGAACACCTTCTCTGAACAGAAGCATTCAATGAAGTTCATGAGTTGCAGCCCCTATACCAGCATGAGTGAGTGCCACACCTCTCTGAAACTGATAGAACCTCAGTTTTTCTTCCTAATGCCAGCATACATTCCTCACAGACCTATAAAGATTATGTGGTCTATGACTCAGTAGGTAAGTGTTAGCTGTTTTCTCTAGGGACTGCTATTTATATTTGTTACTATAATTATATCAAGCAATCAAATACTATATCAATCTGAACAGAATGAATTTTAATGTCATGAAGACCAAGTTGAGTGTTTCAGGAAGATTCCATGAAGTTGACTGATGGTATATATTATCACAGCTAAATCCAATTCAAGGAAGACCACTAGCAAACAGTGAGGGAAAGCTTCCAGGAAGAAAAGTGTAGGATTCTGTACCTCGATTTCTCTGGCCAATTGGAAATGACAGGTTGTTGATGATATGATAATCTTTATACTACAGGCCTGACTTTTCCAGAAAGAACTCCACCTGGGAGAGGCTTAGTGATAGATGCTTGACAAATGATTGAAGAACAGCTTCTTCATGGCTTCTTGTTTCACCTGGCTGAGAGGACACATAGTGATGCTGAAGCTGTACTTACCCACAGCACAGGCACATGCATCTGCCCCGTATGGTGTATAGAGACTTGGAAAAAGAGCTTTTTACAAGTTTCCTTTCAGTGGGAAAAGATCATTCTTTTGGAGACCCAGAGCTGTTCTCCAGAACTGACAAGTTTACAGTCAATGAAGCTGAGAAGCAATAGCCAGCATTCTTATTTAGCAGGAAGTAGCTTTGTCTCATCTTCATAGCTACAAGTGGCATTAACTTCCCTTTGGAAGTACTTGGTTAGAATACTGTTCTTTAAACTTGGTGGAGAAGTTGAGTTCATTATAAAATGTTTAAGAGATAGGTCAAAAATGTTATGCTTCTCAGGAAGAAGGGTATGTTAGGAATTGAATAAAAGCAACTAAGCTAAACTCTACAGATGATTATAGAAAGAGAAAAGACAACATTTTTTCAAACCTAAATACATCCGTCGCGCAAGGAAGGCAACATACGAGATTTTTGAGGATGAGTGATTTGAAGCAGGAAGGAAGTCAAGGGTGAGCTTTAAAACACTATAACACACACACACACACACACACACACAAGTAGAGGCAGATGCAGACACACACACACACACACACACACACACACACACACACACAAGTAGAGGCAGATGCAGAGAGACAGAGAGAGAAGAGAGGAGAGAGGAGAAAGAAAGGCAGGCAGGCAACCCAAAGCAGAAATTAAGCAAGTACAGTATAGCAAAATACTGAGAATTACAGAACCTGAGGAATATAGGCCCAAGAGTATTCATTATAGATTCCTCTCTACATTCTTATCTTTCAAAAATGTTTGCCCTACAATTCAAATAATACAATCAAGTAGGAACTACAAGTGCTAGTTGCTATTTTGGGTTCCTACCTGATTTGAACTCAGCACCTCACACCTGCTTGGCAAATACTCTACCAGTTAAGCCATATGCCCAGCCCTGTTTTGCTTCAATAATTTTTTTAGATAAGGCTCATATTTTTTCCTGAGCTGGCCACAGACTAAAATCCTCTTTTATGGATATAAACCACCCTGCCCACTTTGTTGGTTGAGAAGGAGGTTTTGCCTGAGTTGGCCTGGAACCACAAACCTCCTAATCACTTCAACCTGAGTATCAGGGATTGTAGGTGTGAATTGCCATTCATGGCCTAGTTTATCTTTTCCTTACTTTCATTACAAATGAGGTGTTTCTTTTCTCAATTGAAAATCTTGAGATAGGCACACTGAGAAGGAATCAGAACCAATACCAAAAGCACACTTTGGAGTATTTCTGAGTGTACTGTTATACTGGAACAAAGGTTTCTTTTTTATTTTTAAATGTTATTTTTATCATTAAGTAGTTGTACAAAGGACTTGTTAATCAACAAAGTAAGTATATGAATACAACAAATCTTGATCAATGTCACCTCTTTCAACAGTCTCCCCCATCCCTCCCAGCAAAATCACTTAAATACTTAACATTTAGCAAAAAGAATCCCAAGAGTACTTTCTATGTGTAAAAGGGTTTTTTTTTGGAGAAGGTATTTTAACTTTCTTCATAGGGCTATAAATAATTTCCAGGCACTTATAAATTTTATTGCACTTAGACGTGAGGACCAATGGAATAGAACTGAAGACTCAGAAGTGAGTCTTCTCATAGCCACCTAATCTTTGATAAGGGAGCTAAAAAAATAGAATGGAAGAAAGAGAGCCTCTTCAGTAAGTGCTGCTGGCAAAATTGTTTAAACACCTGTAGAAAACTAAAGCTAGATCCCCATGTATCACCCTGCACCATAATCAACTCCAAATGGATCAAAGACCTCAAAGTCAAAGTAGACACCTGAAAACATTGCAGGAAGGAATAGGAGAAATGCTAGGTCTCCTTGGCACAGGCTGAAATTTTCTTAATAGAGATCTAGAAACATAACAAATCAAAGAAAGGTAGGACAAATGGGATTGCATGAAACTGCAGAGCTTCTGCATGGCAAAGGACATAGCTAACAAGATCAATAGAAAGCCCACCAATTGGGAGAAGATCTTCACTAGCCATACCAAAGAGAAGTGTCTCATGTCTAAAATATACTTAGAACTCAAAAAATTAAATCCCCCAACAATAAATCCTCAAAGAAACAACCGCCCGATCAATAAGTGGGCTAAAGACTTCTCTTCTAAACAGAGACTTCTCTGAAGACGAAAGAAGGATGGCCAATAGACACACGAAAAAATGCTCAACTTCTCTGGCCATAAAAGAAATGCAAATCAAAACAACATTGAGATTCCACCTCACCCCAGATAGAAAGGCTATATACAACAAATCTAATATCAACAGATGCTGGAGGAGATGTGACCAAAAGGGAACACTACTGCATTGTTGGTGGGGGAGTAAACTTGTCCAATGACTTTCGAAAGCAGTATGGAAATTCCTCAAAAGACTACACATGGAACACAGGTTTCTTGAACTAATTTTGGCTCTTTTCTAGGGCGCACGGGGACCATGATTTGTGTCTGCCTAATTGCAACTGGCACATTTTTAACCGCCAAGGTAGGAAAAAGGTTATTATACTCTGTCTTATATTCACTGAATGTGCTGGTTCTGAAACATCACTGGTAAAATGATAAGAAATGTCTTACCTCGTGGTGATTCACTGAAAACCGAGATTCGTGCTGTCTTGCTTAATTTAAGTGGCCTGGAACCCTTGTTCTGGGCAAGGACAACAGTGACAGCAGTGATGCGCAATTGGAAGGGAATGGCAAAATTGAGACTAAGATACACAGCATTTTTAAGGCATACTTCTACTATCTGTGCATAGCTGCCATTCAACAAAGCAGTTTGTAAATACAGCACCCTGAGAGCAATGTCACTCTTTTATCATTCTTCTCCATCCCTCCCAGCCCCACTCCTCCCTTCAATTTAATTTTGGAGGATATGTATTGAATTTTATGATGGTGTAATTCAATACTAAAAAAATCTGACATTGTCTAAAAAGGAATGTACTCATACCTGACTTCTGGAACTGTAACCCCTTCTTTACAGAAACTTTATAAAGAATTTGTAAGGGTATTAATAAGCCGGGCACTGGTGGCTTACGCCTATTATCCTAGCTACTCACAAGGCTGAGGTCTGAGGACTGTGGTTCAAAGCCAGCCTGGGCAGGAAAGTCCATTAGCCTCTTATCTACAATAAATCTTCAGAAAACTGGAAATGGCTCAAGTTGAAGAGTGCTTACCTTGCGATGAAGAGCTGAGCGACAAAAGACCAAAAGACAAAAGACCAAAAGACAAAAGACCAAAGAAAGAAAAAAGACTAACAGGGAAATAAATTTTTTTAAAGAATCAAGGAAAAGCTGTGCATTAGTGACTCACACTTATAATATTAATTACTTGAGAATCTGAGAAGAGGGGAATTGTGGTTTAATATTAACATGGATGTTATTCTCCTTCACCTCCCCAAATTAGATGTATATAAATATGATTTTGATCCCACATATGATATATATATTTATATATTTACACACACACACATATATATATGTAAACATATGAGGAAGCTAGGAGGAGGGGACAGAATCAGAAGGAAATGAGTGAAAAATACATCAGCTGCACTGGACATTGATGATAGTGAACTAAGCAGCTCAAGGGCAGAGATGGGAGAGAGAGACTAAGAGAGAAAGAGGGAACAGCTTCCATTAAGCACCCTATTTGGAAGATAGAGTTGTATTGTCAAAGTTTATAGAGATCACAAGCTTTATAAACCATGATAATGAAAACTATGAAGGCTAAAATGTGTTTGTGAATTTGGCTAAGTAGCACTTTCCCACAATTTTGTGAAGTTTTTGTAATCACTTAATCTCAATTAGAAAATTAAAAAACAAAAGAGCAGCCCAGGCAGAAAAGCTCATGAGACCCCTTCTTAACTGCTGGATGCACCTATCATCCCACCCTATGTGAGAAGCTGGGATTAAGGGGATCTCATACCCAGCTACCCTGGGTACAAGAGTCCATAAGACTCCAGCTCCACAGAGGGAAGCCTGATAGGGTGCCAAGCAGCTGTCTTCCCAGTGATGATGAAGAAACCTGTAGTAGGCAGATCATGGCTTAGGTGCATGCCCGAGTAGTAAGAAAGAGCTAATCATAAAAATAACCAGCAAAAAACAGGCTTGAGAGCCTCGATTAGCAGAATCACACCAGCCTCGCAAACATGAGACTCAGAGTTTTAAAAAGATGAACAGTACTACCAGGAAAACCAACAAACAATCTAATGTCAGCTTCTGTGTGTATGTAGCATTAGGATGTGAACTCAGGACCTCCTGCTTCCTACCCAGGTGCTCTCTCATAAGCCATGTCTCCAACTCTTTTCTACACTGGCTATTTTTGAGATAGGCTGTCATTTGCCAATGGTCTGCTTTCTTTCTCTCCTACCTAAGATGACATATACATCAAACCATAATCCTCTAGTTCTCAGCCTTTCAAGTATATAGGCACTAGCAACTGGCAGATGTCATCATTTTCTTTCTTTTTCAAATTTTTATTTATTTTTATTGTGAAAATACTGTACAGAAGGGTTACAATTACATGGACAAGATAATGAGTACATTTCCTATCAAGCATTGTAGTCTCCTCTGGTTCCCCTTCCCATCCCTTCCCATCCTCCCTCCGCTCTCCACCCAATCCTCCTCCCAACCCCACCAAAGTTGTAAAGTTCATTTTTGACATAACGACTTGTACTTCTCATTGTTGCAACGGGTCCACCTGTATCCTTATTTAAACGATTTATTTTTCCCCTTCCCCTCCACAAATTATACCGACATCAAATACAGTCAAAGCAGGGGTTATACTGTGGGGGAGGGGCATACAAAGCAGCAAAGAAATAATCTTATAAATGCATTAGAAACAATTACATAAAAGAAAAAAAAACATTTGAATACATATCTTAGGGTTCATTTCCCTAACATCACCTTATCTGACCTTTTCTGCTTGAGATGTCATCATTTTCAATAAAGACAGGAACAGTAGTTGCAGTTTGAAGGTAAAATGAGTAAAGCCAACTTGAGCCAGTGCAAAATAAATTTTGTCTGGCCATAGTGCTGCATGCTAGGATCCCAGCACTCAGGAGAAAGAATCTACCAGTAGGGTGTAGGTTGGTCTACACAAAGAGAAAACAAAACCCTCAGTAATCAGATGCTTCTGAAACCTTCCCAATAATGTGACCACTTCTTTCCTCAAAATAAGATGTTGATGAACTAGAATTTGATACAAGTTGCCATATTTCTTTTTTTTTTAATTTAATTTTATTTTATTTGAGAACATACTGTACAGAGGGGTTACAATTACATGGGCAAGATAATGCATACATTTCTTACCAAGCATTGCAGCCTCTTCTATTTTCTTATCTTTGATAGCCAATAAATGGGGGATCTGTGGCCTTTATGAATTTCTGCAGAGACATGGTGGGTTGTTACGAACTTGTAAAGGAGGGTACAGTCCTACTGACATGCTCCTCCTGGGGGCCTACCACCTGTAGGACACAGAGCCCTGCTCACTTCTGGGCCTACAGTCTAGACAAAAGAAGAAATGGATTTAGCACTATATCCAGCTCTGTAGTCCAATCCTTCTGTTTTCCTAACTTGGGACACACAGACTTGGAAAATGGGTGTTCTACCCCTGTTCCCCATGCTCTCAGGGGCTAATGGGAAATACCATATCTACCTTCAGGCTGGGCTGGTTAGACTAGTACCTAGGGCCCAAGGACCTGGGGAGAAGAAAAAACAAAATGACTGTTCTAGGACAATGTTTCCCAAACTATAACCAGTGACTTATAAAATCAGCTTACTAAATTGTGACTAGAATTTTTTAATGGAAAGGAATAGAACAGAAGAGAAAACATGAAAAGTTTTGGGTGTATTAGTATAGATACTAGTCCCAAACACAAAATGCAAGACCTCTGCTTCAGGCTGTGTGCCTCTCACTGGCTATACTGCAGGTCTCTGGGTTCTCTTTGGATTTCAGTCTTCTCATATCTAAAATGGAAGATAGGAAGAAGAGTTGGACCAGATGTCCCAAACACAAAATGCAAGACCTCTGCTTCAGGCTGTGTGCCTCTCACTGGCTATACTGCAGGTCTCTGGGTTCTCTTTGGATTTCAGTCTTCTCATATCTAAAATGGAAGATAGGAAGAAGAGTTGGACCAGATGATTTCTAAGGTTGTTCTAGCTCTTAAATTCCATGTCTTTATGAATCTTGAACTAGGAAAAGTCCTTGACATGGCTTTCTTCTCTTTCTTGTTTTGAGTAGTTCTGTCCAAAGATTGCTGATGTGAAGGTTGTATCATCTCCTTTTCTGTAGGAAAGCCTGAAGTACTTTGGGGATAGAAGAACCGACACAAGTTTCAGCAAGAAATTTCAAGGTGTTGAAACTCCTTCCCAAGTAAGTTTTCGCTCTTCACCAGGAGTTTGTTGGTAGGGGAAATTAGTGGCCGCATTGGCTGCATTTGAAATCCTTCTCTAACACTCAATTAATTCAGTAAGAGCACTTGTGATTTGTAACACTTCCCTGATCTCTATAGAGGCTCAACTCTGTAGGCTCTAGGGTTGCCTAGGCTTGGTTCAGGCCAGAGCATTCTACTTTCCATTTCATATTCCTTATTGCTTGTGCAGCTTCAGGAGTTGTTTCCCCTCCACAAGAAGGAAGGTCTTTTGCCTGAGGTTTTCCTCACTCCTGAGGATGATCTCAAATCTACTAGCCCTTGATTTCCCTGAAAAGAGGGATTGGATCTTTCAGGAACCCCTGAAAGACAATGAGCAATTCAATCTCTCTAGATCACCACCAGGATTGTTTCTTGATCACTCTCCCCTGTGTGGCTAAAAAGAGGTCAGAAAGGGGAAAGAATGAGAGAGACACACCAAGAGTTAGAAATAAATATACACTGAGACAGGAAATGAATGAAAGAGAAGGAAATGGGAAAAGGAATATTTTTAGAATCCTGTCAGGGCAGACATTAGCATACTCATGTTTCTTATTCCATACTTGAAACCTTCATGTGAACAATATACTATTATCCTACTTTTCCTCTGAAAATTTCCAAACATACTGCATTAGACTATTGGTCACTGTGACAAATACCTGACAAAAGAAATTCAAGTGGGGAAAAATTTACTTGGGCTCACAGTTTCAGGTTTTACTTCTTGGCCACTTGATCCTATTGCTTTGGGCCTAAGGTGAGACTTTCAACTCCTATCAAGGAGGGTGTTGTAGAGCAAGGCTTCTCAGTTCCAGGTAGCCAGGAAGCTGAGTAGCAGGAAGTGGCAGGGAAAAGATACATCCTTCCAGTGACTTCCTTTCTCCAATGAGGCCCCACCTCCTAATGTTTTTCCCACCTCCTAATGTTTTTCCCACCTCCTACTAATATGAAGTCCTCAATGGATTAGGCTACTGCTGAAGTCAAAAGACTCATGAAACAATTACTTCCCAACACCTTACCTCTGAATTCTGGTACACTAGGAATCAAGCCTTTTACATATGAGCCTTTGAAGAGCACATTTCATATCCAAGCTCTAACACACAAGATGGAATTACACAGTCTATTCTTCAATCATCCTCTCAACCTATAGCCAATCATGCTACATGCATTCCTTCCCTACTCTCCTCCTGGGTACCCCTTCCTACCCTTTCTTTCCTAAGCCAGGATTACTTTGAAGGAAATTCTACACATCCAATGCTTTTATCTCACAAGTATTTTGGCATGACACCCAACATACATACTCTCAAAAAATAAGCCAACAAAACACCTAGCCAGGAACAAGTGCTTCACACTTGTTTGTATTCCTAGATGCTCAGGAGTCTCAGATTTGAGGATGGCTGTGCTTGCAGGAAAGCCTGTGAGACACTTCTCTCCAATCAAGTACCAAAACAGCTGGGGATGGAGTTGTGATTGAAGTGGTAGAGCATTAGCCTTGAACAAAACAGAAAAAGAAAACAACAAATCCAACTACAGGTTGCCTCTAGCTCATATCTGAGGATCATGGTTCGAAGCCAGCCTAGGCAGGAAAATTCTTGACACTCTTATCGCTAATTTATTACAAAAAGCCAGATGTGGAGCTGTGGTCCACATTACCCTTATGGACAAGGCTCAGGGATAGTACATAAGCCCAGAGTTCATATCCCAGAATGCATGCACACACACACACACACACACACACACACACACACACATAAATAAAATGCTGATATTATTGATTATATTCACAAATATTATAGTTTAATATTGCCTATTTAGCATTAATTTCCATTCTACATATAACTCTCAAATACTAAACAAAATTACACATTTCATTCATAATCACAACAATTCTGTTAAAGTTTGTTGGTTTCTTTTTTTTTTTCATAAATTACTTGCTGAAGAAACCAAGGTATTTATATCATAGAGTTTACATTCCAAACTTTCTTAAGCCATCTGAGGACTTCCTATTCATTGTCTCCTTTATTATTGTGGACCACTATGGGAGAGCACTTTTATGCAAATTGGGTAGTTAAGGTTAGTTGAGAGAAATTAACATTTTGAACCAAGCACTCAAATCTGGATCTGTTGGAGTCACAGTCCATCATTTCCCATGCTGTGCATAGCTGCTCATCCACACAGTCTTGTCTGCTTTTCCCTTCAAACCATGTAGGAGCTTGTGGGGAATGCCTAGAGATTGGGTGAGGCGGTGAATGGAAGTTTTCGATGGCAGAAGTTGATAGATTTGAACAGCATTTTGGCCTTGTGAACAGTCCACTAACTACTGGTCTCCAGTTTGGCCAACAAAACTTCAGCCTTATCCATGGATATACTTTCCCCTTGTCCAAGCGACCCCACCAAAAAAGAGAAAAAAATGTAGCTATGGAGCCTAAACCTATGAACTTAGCAAACCCCATTGCTAATGATGCCATTTCTGCTAACATCCACAATGGCTTCTTTCTGCAACCAACTAAACGACCTGAGCTGAATTTACACTCTTCTACAATGTGGTATTTCCACATGCTAACATCCATAATGGCTCGCTTCTAAAACAAACTAAGTATCTTGAACTGAACTTAGTTTTCTACAATGTGATTTTCCCACACCTTTCTCTCATTCTGCGCATTTATACATCCCACAGTCTACTACAGAGAAGGTTTACTGCTTCCCGACATGCCAATACTTCGTCCCTTCAAGCCTTTGTTCACACAGGCCCCTTAGCCTACAGTCCCTTTCCATTCCCAGCATATAGTAGTCTCTGCCCATTTCAGGTCTTGCAGCCCTTTGAGGGCTTGTGAGGAACTATGCCATTCATTCTGTAGCCATTTCAAGTGCAGTATATGGATCCCCTTAAAGGCAATTCCCATGTCTTGCTGAAATTCCCACCCTTTGCATCCCAAAGTACTTTGCCAGGTGGCAGAGTGTCTTCCTTAACTGAATATGTGCTCACTAGGTGTCAGTTGTCTTAATATATAAGGAACCCTCTGTTGCTTTAAGCTGCGTCAGGAGAAGGAAGAGTGAGAGCCAAAGCAACTTGAAGGACTCCATGTATAGAAGTGGAGAATCTGATGGCAGAAGCCAAGGGAATTGTACGGCATCTCCTTCTTATGTCTCCATATATCTCCCTTCCTCACATCTGCAGTCACACAGTTTCCATGACTTCAGTCCAGACCTGACCATAGCATGGGCTACAGCTCTTCTGTTTCACTGGGAAAGCAAGGCAGGTGTTGGCAAGGCTGCAGCACTGAGTCCCCTTGGTTTGGAGGTCCTTATTACACAATGCCACATTCTGCCCTCCATTGTGACATTCTTTTTGTCACAGTGCATGCAACTGAAAGGCAAGAATTTTCAGGAGTCTTTCTCACCACGCCCTTTCATCTGTTGAATTCTGGGACCTTGTGCTCGGTAGCCTTTACTTGCTCATAACAAACACTTTACCACATCTCTGGCCCAACTTTTGCCTACTGGTTACATATGATTCTCCCAAACTTTTCAGTCCTGGCTGGCTTTGGTCCTCAATCCTCTCAGCCTCAGCCTCCTGAGTAACTAGGATTACAGACATGAGTCACTAGCATCCAGCAAACCTACTTTTGATAAGTGGAGCTGTGGCAGCTCACTCCATCAGCTCTTCCCTGTTGGTTTATCACCAGGACTCTTCAGTTGCACCACGAGAATTCCAAAGAAAGCCCTTGTAAGCAACTTGCTATCGAGGGGAATAGGAGACTAAGAGAATTGCAGGGTTCTCTTGCAAAAATATATTTGAGAAAAGGGAAGATGAAGAAACACTTATCTCTTAGGAACCCCTCAAAAGTGACATATAATCATCTACTGCGGCTCTGTGTGGCAGTCTCATTCCCCTTGAGAAGCAAACATAGTCCTTTCTCTAACCCATGGCATCAGACTCTGCCATAGCTGTTTTAGCACCTTTATTATTCTCATGGTCAAAAGCAAGCCTATAAGCAAGGACTAGCTCCTTCCATGGTACTCCCTGCAGGTCAGAGGCCAGTGCTTTCTCCATAGAGCTCATTACTCATGGGGAGACAAATAAAAAAGACTCTTGATTATGTAATGGCACACTTATCAATGTTTTCTTCATTTCTTATTGCTCTGAACATGGTGTAACAGAGAGAGACTAGAATACTGACTTTAACCTTGCATTCCAATGCAATTGAGGCTTCTGGTTGCTTTACAGAGTCGATATGTTGGTTATTTTGAAACCATCCGAAATGTATGTAATTGGCAGCTACCATTGAAGAAAATACTCAAAATTACCAAGATTGTCATTTACTCCATTCAAGGTAAGCACTTTAATTTAAAATGAAAGGATGGGTTGAGAGATGAATGTTCTACTACTTGAGAGCGGTTTGCTCATGGTTATGTACATAGACGATCCTAACTCACAGCTGTGTGAGTTTCTCCACGGGAGAACTCCTCCCTCCGGAGCTGCCATGACAGCTACTCTCAGATGCCTCCCTTCTTCCCTTGCCCATTTCCACTTGAGGGGAGGGCTCCATCTCCTTGCCTTCCCTTCTCATTGTTCCTGGTCTCAACTTAGGTTACACTTTTCAAGGTGGAGCCTTTACAGGAGAGAAGCCTCAAGAACGCTATCGACTGCTTTTTTCTCAGACCAACTTCTCATTCCTGGTTCATCTCAGCAATGCAGGCCCTGTATCATTTTGTCCTGTAGTCCTTCCAGAGAAGATTTTTTCTAAGCACTCCGATCTTTCTTTTCTCTCTTTCCTCTGCCTCCAGACATCTTCTCCCTAACACGTCCATCAAGACGCTTTACTTTATTTGTTGCCACATATGGCCAGGATATATCCTAGCATTCACCATGGGTTGTCAGCAGAAAAGAGAAATAAGTGCATAGATTCAAAACGCCAACTACAAGCTAGGTGTTCCTAAGACTCAAGCCTAAAGTCCTAGTTATTCAGAAGGCTGACATCTTCAGGATCACAGATTAAAGCCAGCCCAGGCAGAAAAATCTGAGTTTCCATTTCCAAGCAAAGGAAGTAGAGTTGGAGATATAACTCATGTGAAAGAGTGTCAGCTACGCAAGCTGAGCAAGCTCAAAGCCTTGACTTCAAACTCTGGCAACAGGAAATGGAAAAGTCAGACATCATTTCCAAGCACACAATTAGGTATACTGCAGAGAAGCTTCCTAAGGGGCAGCACTTGTACTCACCCCCTTTCCACACCAGAATCTCCATGAATATGGAAAGAGTTGGGAGAAAGTGGTGTTTTACTAGAGTCCTTTACCTACCAACAAGTTACTGCCTACTTTCAAAAACATGAGGCTGCCTGGTTTAGGCATCTCATTATTCCTGGAATGATAGGCACTTAGCACCATATCCACAAGGTTGTTCCACTGCCCTAGCTCAAATAATCTTCCCAAACTCAACCTTCCAAGCAACTAGGGTTACAGGCATGAGCCACTGATACTTATCCACTCTAGCTATTGTTGAGATCAAGTCTCACATTGCCCCTGCTGGCCTAGAAAACAGTGAGAAAGGTTATTGCTTTGGGGACAAAGACCTAAACAGGTAGAAGATGGGTGAGACACAGAATTTTCACTTCATTTTTTTTCTTCTACTTTTTACATGATGAAATACATCTATGTGGTTTAAAATTGTTTACAGATAGGGGAAATTAAGAGCTTAAATCCATGTTCTTATTATGCAATAAGAATTGGATTTAGTTCTACCTTTGATTCATTGGTAGTAGACATGGATAGAAAGAAGTTATGCAACCAAACAGGAGCGAGGGAAATGCAACATAAAACCTTGCTTTCTCCCAAAACTCATTCACATAATGGTATACAAATAAAATTAACAGAAACCAAAACAAGACAAAATGAGAAGAGCAATCAAGCATGGTTAATGGGCCTTTTTGTGTCAAGGTGAAATTGGCAGGGTTGAAAGGAAAAAGTGAATTGTGGGATCTGAAACCAGGTCTTGGAGGAAATCCTAAAGGAAGCGGGGCCATCTGAACTGAGGAAAAAGGCATAGGTTGAACACTGTTGGCTCAAGCTGGTTATCCTAGCTACTCAGGAGGCTGAGATCTGAGGACTGTGATTTAAAGCCAACCCATATAGACACCACTCTTATGACCAGTTAATCAGTAAACAGTCCAAAGTGGAGGTAGAACTGGTAAAGTTCCACCTTTTCACAAACAGCCACAAAAGAAAACATGAGGCCCTGAGCTCAAGTCCTATTCAAGGGAAGTAAGTCAGGTCTAAAGAGAAATTATGTATGTTTTCTCTCACATGGAGAAGCTAGATCTCTTATAAATCAACAGTAAATGCATATGAGGTTGTTTATATGTGCACACAAACATATTAAGGGAAGTATGGTATTTGCATGACAGTACCCAAATGGTGTAATTTCTTAGAAAAATGAGCTCATGGCACAACAAAGTGAATGCCAGGAAATACCAGTTTCTTGAAAAGCATGTGGTGGGAGGGAGGTAGAAAGGAGGAGAGTAGAGGAATGAGGACAGGTAGAGGGGAAGACAGTCCTAATATTTCATGTGTGCCCTATGAAACTAGTAAACTTGAGAGAAGGATGGGTTGGGAGGGATTTGAGACAATGATGAAGTGGTTGATATCCATCAAGATGCATTGCACTAATAAACTGATTTGGTAATGGTAACCCCTTTGCACAACCGCTTCAAGATAATAAAAATACAAGTGAAAAAAGAAAGAAAGGGCCATAAGACTATTGCTCTGAATACTTGCCCTCCGTTTTTCTAGAGATGAATTTAGAAAGTGGACTTAAATTAGGAAAGTGGAACTTACATTACTATCATACAAGTCTCAAGAAAGCATCCCATTAGCGAGAATCTTTGTAATTCCCTTATATGTTTTTCCTTTTTTCGGGAAAGCTGAAACAGTAAGAATTTATCTTTCAGAAACTGAACATGCAACATGTATGTTTTTGTCTCTTTCTCTCTCATCTTATATACTGCTTTAGGACATAGAAAACATTTTTAAGGAGAAAATCTATGCAAGATCAGATGATTAAATATTGTCACAATGTGAGCTGGCATTGTTTTCTCTCTTTTTAGTCCATACTGTTAACTGGCAAGACAATTTGCTCTGTACTCTAACAGGTCTATTTTTTTTAACCTTTTATTCAGGGATAGGAGAAGGAGACGGGAGGGACCTGAATATTGAAATAATACTTCAGCACAGGACTGTGCTTACTTGCACTCAACAAACCTGCACAGTGAGCAAAAGCACATAAACTGAGAAGTCTAGTGTTTGTTTCAAAACGCCCAGTCCAACAGGCATGCTGACCATCACTCACCACAAACAGACCCATGCTGCCTTCTGGTCACCATCCAACTAGTAGTTGCTTAGTTCAGATGCAAAGCAGATCCTTGTTCCAAATAGTTCTTGTAAGACATTTCTCAAACTATGCTTCCATTTAGTGCTCCTTTGTTTTCATTTGCCCACAAATGCTAAGAATGTCCCCAGGAATCAATCGAGGTTTTAAATACCTACATCTGGTCAGTATTTGCCTAATTATCTTCCTTTTCATCTTTTTTTTTTTTTATCATTTCTTAGATATCTCTGATTCTCCAATTTAGGGTTCTTGAAGATCACCTTGGCACTTGTAAAAGTGGAATGTTGTAACTCCAAAGTAGGATGCAGAAACTCTCCACTCAGTAATGTATGTCATCAGGGACTCTAACTCAGATGTTCTGTAGGATGTCGCCTTGAGACATAGGGAGACAGCATATGGACTGAGGAGATACCTCTTTACCTCCAGAAGTAAGGGGAAACCTTGTTTAACTGAAATGTTGGAGAAATGATCAAGACTGTAGACCTTTCCTGGAAGAAATTAGCAAGTTTCCTTTGGACCCAAAAGTTCTTAAAATGATTCCCAGGTTCTTTTTATAAGGTCTCTACGTACACACACACACACACACACACACACACACACACACACACACACACACACACACACACACACACACACACCCATACCCACATACACACAAAGACCTGGAGCTTGAACTCAGAGCATAACTGCTGTCCCTGAGCTCTTGTGCTCAAGGCTTGTGCTTTACCACTTGAACAACTCCTCCATTTCTGGCTTTCTGGAGCTTAATTGGAAGTAAGAATCTAATAGACTATTTTGTCTAGGCTGGCTTTGAATCTTGACACTCAGATGTCAGCCTCCTGAGTAGCTGGCATTGCAGGCATGAGCCTGGTATCTGGCTTCATAGGCACTTTTAAAACTGTTATTGATTCCTGTTTGACTTCAGTTAGAGTACAGCATTGTCCCATTTGTTAGGAAATGGAAAGACTTGGAAAAACTTACATTAAGTGAAGTAATCCAGGCCCAAAGAAACATAGGTCCCATGGTTTCCCTTATTTGCAATAACTAGTATATGTCTGAGACAGAAACTGTCAGAGAAGTTGATGTTAGGCAAAATGAACCCCAAGATAAGAATTCAAATGTTTTTTTTTCTTTCTTGCATTTGTTTCCAACGTATTTATAAGATGATTTCTTTGTTGCTTTGTATGTCCCTCCCCCAGGGTATAAGCCCTGCTTTCACTGTATTTGATGTTGATATAATTTGTGGAGGGGAAGGGAAAAAACAAACTCTTTAAATAGGGTTGCAGATGGACCCATTACAACAATGAGATGTACAAGATGTTATGTGGAAAAACGAACTTTACAACTTTGGCCGAGTGAGGGGTACGGGGAAGGGGGGTGGTAGAGTGGTGTAGGGGTGGAGGGTGGAAAGGGGAAGGGAGAGTATGGAGAAACAAAGGAGGAGGCAACAATGCTTGATAAGAAATGTACTCACTATCTTGCCCCTCTAATTGTAAGCCCTCTGTATGGGATTTTCACAATAAGAAGAAGAAGAAAAAAGAAAAAATATAATCCTTCCTATTGAACATAAAAGTGCCTTCTTGAAAGAAGGTAAAATCCAATGATTCACAGTCAACTGTAATGTTCACTAGGTAAAACCCCCAGCAGAAAAACTTCTCAGCTGTGCTCTAATATAACTCTCAGACATTTTGAGTTCATGCCAACAATAGTTTTACAATGTCAGAAAAAATCATTACCACTTATTTCTATAGGAAATGACTGGGCTGTGAAACAGAGTATATATTGGTTTTAGGATGCTTGGATGAGGGTAAATGAATAGTTATCAACAGCTGCATTGATCATTCCTAATTCCATGTATTCGTTCATAGGTTTCACATGATCCTGAAAAAAACAGGGCAATATTTATTGTCCCCAACTGCCCGGACTTACAAAATGATGTCAAAGTGAGGTTTCTGTCAACGGTGAGTCATCAAGAATTCTCTATGATTCTCTTGTCGCATGGTCTTTTGAATGATTTTGGTTCAAGATTGCCTTTGCTGCAGTTCTGGACAATCCATTTCTAGAGAAGGGGAGGAAAACAAAATCAAAACTATCACCATTTCTACTACACATAAATACTTTTCTTCACTTTTTTCTGAAGTATATGTAATTGATATCTAAGTTTCAAAACCAAGATGCTAAAACAAGAAGATATTTTTTCCACTGCCCAGCAATATGAACAGTTATACTGTGTATCTTTTAAACACATTGTGATCAAAGTGTGCACACATCCCCCAAAGTGACAGACATTTTACTTTCCTGTGAGTTGATATGTGCTATCATTATCTATTAGTATCATTACTATAACAGTGTGCAATTTCTATTGATCACAAGTAAAATGCCATGACTGTTCTTCTGTTTGTACTGACTCTCTAGGAAGTCATCTGTCACAACTAACAGTAAGAAACTTAAATTTCATTCTCAATGCCTCCTTCATTACCTGCTTACCCACTACTGAAGGGTATTGAGATGGCAAATATGCGGAAGCAGGTGACCACTGGGGTAGTCACTCTACTGGAATGCTGTCCCTTGGATAAGAGAACCACTGTGAAATCTTGCTCAGATAGTGGTCTCTAAGCAGAAACTGTGATTTCTTCCCTGGCTCAGGGATCCTTGGGAAGAACTAGTTTTAGTGATGATCAAGGGTTAAGATGTAAAGGCACATTTGTAACAATTGAGAAAATTTTTGGCTCACCGGTGTGTTTTGGGCCATCCTGAGGTATGAACTCAGAGCCTCGCACTTTGGCTCCATTGGCTTGCTTGGCCAATCTCTATCGCTTGAGCCATGCCTCCAGCCCTGCTTTTTACTGGTAATTTTGGAAACAATGTATGAGTTTTCTGCCCAAGCTGTCTTGGACCCTCCAGAACTCAGCCTCTTGAGTAGCTAGCTATCATCAATATCGATGGTTCATTATTCAAAGTAGCTGTTGGTTAGAGAAATAGATGTGTCTTCTATTTCTTTGAGCATAGTCTCAAGGACTGTCTCTGGACAACGATCTTAAATTCTAGCTTTGTTCTGATGGGGCTCCAGGTGAGATGGTTGTGGATGCTGTAGAGGTGTCTTTCATAGGATGGTTGTTTACCCTGGTGGCGAGTAGTTTAATGCCTAAGTGCCCCACTGGTGGTGACCATTCGACTTTCTCACAGGAAATTGGTTTGTGCTGGCAGATGACCTGTGGCTGTTTTCTGCCTTGTTGTGTTTTTACTTTCTTTCTAACAAAGTGATCACTCTAGAAAACTCCTGAAAACAGGACAGGTGTGCATGCTGGTCAGATAAGGCACCAATAAAACAGCACAACAAAACACAGGAAATAAGAGAAACAGTTTATGACAGAGAAAAGACAGGACAGCACATCTCCCATGGCCAGTGGAAAGAGGGGAGCCATGCAGGACAAACTGATACCTGACCAGTGGTGGGGAGACCTTGGTTAGTGCTGTAAACACAGGTAGTCACTAGGATAAACCTTCCCAGGTCCCTGGGAACATGGGGTCACTACAGCAAGTACATTGTATCTGCTGTCACATGGAGAGCTGTTCACCAGAAGATGGGTGCATAGGCCAGATATGTGGGTCAGAAATGGTTGGGGGTGCTGTGTCCTGCTTCTGCAATGCCAGTCTATCATACATTCAAAATGAATGCAGAGGAAATAGAATCGATGAAGAATTGACCAGTATATGTTTGGGTGTGTCCAGGTACAGGTCTTTATTTGGTGCTTAGGACTGTGCAGTCAGATTGGAAGATCCTTGTCTATATTTTCATGGGGAAAACATTTAACAAGTGGACTGGGTGCCGTATGGTAATTCTATGTTGAATTTCCTGAGGAACCACCAGACCCTTTTCCACCATGACTTGGGTTGTTTTTTTTTTTGCATTTGGTAAGCAAGGCTTGAGGGACTCCAGTGCTCGGTGGTTTACTTTAATTTTCCTGGTGATCCTAATACGTGTGACATTATAAGTCAATCTTGCCACCACTTGGATATATTCTCTGAGGAAATGAAATGTTCATTCAAATCCTTGGAGTTGTTTGGTCTGCTTATGTTTTTATGTGGCTTTGGTTTTTGAATCGAAAGGGTTGTGAATTCAAGATGCTCACCAGATACAAGATTTTCAAATATTTCCTTCCATTCTGATGCTCTTTTTTCACTCTGATCATGTCTTTTATGAAATAGAAGTGAGCATGTTTTATATTTCACGACACTAATTTTGACACTTCCTATTTTTTGTGAAAAGATTTCTCCTATAGCCTCTGAGTGCTTTGTAACACAATGCTGCAATTGACATATACATAAAGGAATAAGGAGGGAACTTCAATACCTTTGTAATCATTAGTTGGTGGTATCCATTTTGTTATAAAAATCACCTTTATCTTTAACCATGTGTTTTTAAGAATCTTCCTAACCACTACGACGAATGCGCCTTCTTTTTCTGGTTCCACGCTTCCATGATAGAGGGAAACAGGTAAGGCTATAATGTAATCCAATAGAAACTGTTTCACTCTCATGTCTGTTTCTAAGGTATATTGGCAAATCTTTTTGCCCACTGTCCTCAGTTCATTTTCTACAAACATAACTCCTGAGCAACCACCTCAAAGCCCCTACAATAGGACAATGTGTCACTTAAAATGCAGTTACTCTAACTGTAGGGATGATCAATTTCTCTCAGGCAAGTGCACATCTGCTCAGTTCCGGGAATATGGCAGGTCCTCAGAAGGTGCCAACTGACTGGGACATGATTGGTATGATTGGCCTAGGGAGGCATTAGCTGGTTTCAAGCTGCTATTGGCATATTTCCATCTAGGACAGAAGTTTTAAGACCTGATAGGCATTAACAAGGCACAAAAGCCTTCATCAGATAGCCTCTCATAGAAATCCATTCTCTAATAATTGAATTGATTCATTCTTGCTAAGAACCTACTACCTTACCTAGAAACTCATGTCTGAACTTGCAAGTTCTCAGCTTCTCAGGAGGATTTGTCTTGTGGTGATAAAAAGAAAAACACTTTCAAGATCATTCAGATCTTGTCATTCTGCCTGTCACTCTGTCCTCATCTATGTGTGAATGATACTACTTGTTACATCCAGTGTCACTCTGCTCTTCAAATCGACACTGGGCCTAATAATACTTCAAGTCTAGTAAGACAACACCAAGAAAGTCTCACTTCTACAGATTTGCAACTTACAAACAAGTTGGCTTGGCAAAAAGTAAACTCTGAACTTATGGGAACATTTTTTTAAACCAATTTCTCTAGTTGTACACAAAGTGTGTGAGGAGCTAAGACCTCAACAAAGGTAGGGCTTTACTTGTTGCTACCTGTCAAACTGCTTCTTGTTAAAGCATAACTTTGTCCTTTCCACCACCATGATCCCCGTAGAGATTATAAGAACATTTGATTTAACTTTTGTATATGTTTCTGGAAAAACTAGTATCATTTCATACCTTGCTTTTGTAAAGCTGTTTCACAATGATGAGGTGGTTGTTTAGACAAAAATAGCAACTTCATCACATAAGGGAGATATAGCCAGACACCACTGGCTCAATGGCCAGTTATCCTAGCTATAAAGGAGGCTGAGATCTGAGGATCATAATATGAAGCTAGCCCGGACAGAAAAGTTTGTGAGACTCTCATCTCCCATGAGCCAGTGAAAAAGCCAGAAATGCAACTGGAGCTCAAGTGATAAAGGGCCAGCTTGAGCAGTAAAAGCCAAGTGAGACCACAAGGCCCACTAACCCCTACCCTCACTACCCATACAAAAGAAAGAAACAAAACAGTATTTAATTACTGGCTGTCATCATATGCCCAATGTATTTCGTGGTGGTAACTTTTTCAATTATAAACACTTCGTTTGCTCAAACTAGTGTCACTAATTCCTTAAGAGGCATGTTGTGACTGATATGTTTGTTCCTGAAGATTAACGTATTGTAGGTCATACCAAAGAGGTAGAATGGGCCAAGTAATAAAACAAGTGGGGCTTAGATCCTGGTTGCAGCCAGCAAGTCTCTTTCTAAACAAGAGTGTTCTATTGAATGACTTTTCTGTAAGCCCTAAACTAAAACGTAACGCTTTTTCTTCCTATCCTTAGACTTTATTTAACAAGGAATGAGTTGGATAATCCTCATAACAAAAACACCTGGAGTATATATCCTCCAGATTTTGCTGTCGAAATCATCTTTGAAGAAGTATTTTCATAAGAAACCACCTCTATATGCCCCTATTAGTTTAAGTCTTGTATATATTAAATAAATTACGTATTGTTAAGTTATCTGCACATGTGTGTGTGTGTGTGTGCACGCATGCTTGCTCTGCAACTTGAACTCTGACCCTTAATTTCAGCTGATGCTCTACCACCTGAACCATGCTTCTACTTCCAGCATTTTGCTAGTTTATTCACGAAGACAGTCCGGAGTATCTTTCTTCCCTGGTTGGCACTGAACCGCTGGCCTCCAGACCTCAGCCCCCTGAGTAGCTTGGATTATAGGTATGAATGAGCAGGGCCCAGCTTCCCTGTTGTCTTTCTTGAAGTCATGCGCTTCACACTGTCACTGTCTACTATTGAGATCATTTGGGAACACACCATATATAGGAACAGTGCGGAACAAGTTTTAAGAACTTTGAAACAGCTTATAGCTCTCTGAAATTTATGATGCTACCACTACGCGTGCACTCCTCTGTTTTTACACACCTAATTTTCTTTGCTCTGGTTTATATTTGCCATGTCTGATTTACGACCAGATTAACTGTGTGATTCACAAACAACCTCTTCACCTACATCAGATTAGCAGGAAAGTTTTAAAGCCAAAGGACAGAGATGTTTTACACCCTTTTCACTCAACCCCAACATCAGGCACCACACAAGGGATTTATGTGGCAAGCCTTCATTGGTTACACATGACACAGACATGGGAGGGCAAAGGGGTTTTTGAGACACAAGAATACATTTCAATTATTTAAGCTTTTTTGTAATATCAGAAATCAATTCAAAGAAATATGGAGTCATCTAGATTCATTATGGGAAACACGATCAACTCTGCTGGCAGCCAACTGCACACAGGCCTCAGAAACACTGTAAAGAACTAATGTATAAACTGTGCTTAACCATGTGGACACACACAGTCTTCATTATTTTCTGTAGATTGGCACTTTAAGTCCCTTCACAGGGCCACTATTTGAAGCCCATGATTCCCCTTGAAAACAGTTCTATGTTAATGTGACTGGAATGATATTCTTACTTGAATCGATTTGCTTTCATTAACATTGCTTCACCAGGGCACCTTCTAAGTCCCAATAACAACTAGGTGATTCCATCGCTGTGCAAACATCAGGATGGGTTTGCATAAATGACCTCGGCTACGGTGTCACAAGGCAATAAATCCCACAGGACCACCATCGTGCACGGCCCCCCACTGACAGAAACCCATGTAAGCAAGCCACTTAATCCTGAAACCTCAGCACTGCAGAAAGTACACTCTATAAAGAATTCATGAGGATAATGGAACTACGTAGATAAGAGCAGCTGCCTGGCAGTCATGTAGGTCTCCATCAGAGCAGTGCCGCACAGCCTGCTTAGCCTCTGTGCAACTTCCTCAATCCACAGCATAGGGCAGTGAAGATCTTTGGAGGAGGAACAAGAAAGGAAGCTGGTGAGGGCTAGCCTGCCTTGCAAAGACCACATGGCTGGGCCACAGCCTGCAATCCAGTCAAGACTGCAGACTCCATTCAGAATGCATCTACAAGATGAATCATACTACTTTGAAGAGTACAAAATCTGGAGAAAATCCGTACGCCTACCATGAAACTTTGTCAAGAATCTAGAAGCCACACCAAGGGTACAGACACAATCTCTGAAAAATCTAGATGCCTATTTTACTTCCATTATAAAAACAGTAACCTGTTGGTACATGGTTCAGGAGAATTTTTAAAAAGGACCTTACTTCTAGAATTGATAAAGCAATCATTTATAACCATTTGCATGAAAAACGGTCACTTCTGGGTTTTCGGCTACTATTTCTGTTGACAATGACAACAATGAACCCGAGGTGTTTCGCTCAGTCCATACCTATGCAAACTGCATGGGTTTATAATATACCTTGATTCAGAAATCCCACCCTGTTAGAAGTGTATCTGGCCCTTCAGGTATGTATGTATCAGGCCATCATCCACATTGTTTATTACATCAAGGGCAACAAAATGTGGCGGTTTCTCTTGCAGTACAGTTATTCGTACAAGTTTTATTATGTAACATAGAGGTTCTTGCCAAAACTTTTAAGATTTAGGGCAGAAGAAGGGAGGACATAGGCAAAATTCCTAAGAAATCAAGTTAATTCTACGTTATTACTGTGCTCTGTGAAACCAGGAAATGAACAGTACTTCTCAAATGACTGTACATGAATCTAGGCAACCCAAGATTCCTCAGTGTGCTTCCGACTGACTCATCATCAATGTCCTTCTATATTCATAGGCCAAAATACAGTGAGCGATTGGCAGAGATTCCTTGAATCATAGTGGGCTTCAATCCAGAACATAACCTTATTCCTAGAAGACAAAAGACCCTGACATTCTCCTTCTCAGTGGGGATAGCTACACAGAGTAGAAAGATTTGTCCTTACAAATCCAGATAACAGCAGTACAAAACCCAACAAGTGATGGAAGAATTTACTTCCAGGGATCCTTAAGTCAACTAGCCAAAACAAGATAATATCAGACCTCCTGGAAAAGCTGATCCTTGCTCAGCTAGCAAACAGTTTCCATGCCTAGTAAACTCCTGGGATATGGACTGAGCAGTGCCAGAGCCTGACATGGCCAGAAAGAGGGAACTGTGTAGCCAGAGGTTACAGCCAGAACACCAACAATGGAGGCAGGGCCATTTCTAGTATAATTGCTGCCCAGCTGGCTATGAGGATGAATTGGAGAAGGGAAGCATGCACACTTCGTAAAACTACAAATTGTATTGCAAATTTATCGATGTCAAGAGTTAGTAATAATACAAAGATGTTTGTGTGGTATTGGGGATATGAATAAAGCAACTTTGTCTCTGCTCTGTGCTTTCTTGAAACCAAAAAACAAAGGTTGCTAACCCAAGTGTTTGGGGGCAGGGGAGGGGTTGTGCTTTTTCTTTGTTTTGTTTTTGCCAGTACTAGGAATTGAACTCAGTTCCTGGTTGCTATCTCAGAGCTTTTGTGCTAGAGGTTTGGGTTCTTCCACCTAGAGCCACAGCGCCAGTTCCAGGTTTTTGCCAGGAAAATAGAGATAAGATTCTCACAACCTTTCCTATCCAGACTGGCTTTGAACCACATGCCTCAGATCTCAGCCTCCTAAGTGATGATTACAGAGGCAATATAGATGTGCTGGGCCCTAACCTAAGATTTTCAGTGGCTGCTAGAAGGATCATTTTTTTTTTCTCTGATTCCATAGGGTGGGCTCCTAACAAGCATCACTTAAAAGTCAACATCCTCCTGTCAAACTCTAAACATCAGTAGCAAGTCACCTTCAGAAGCTGCTTGCTCATTTCTGACTCCAGGAATGTCCTCAGTACAGGTGTTTTATGTTCTTTAGAGCCAATAGGACCCTTTAGAGAGATTCAGTATTTCCTCAGAACAGGTGAGGCTACCTTTAAACCATGTATTTCCCTGGATGAAGTCCACATCTTCAAAAATCCTTTTAGGCTCCTTAGAACAAAGGGTCATACAAGGCACCTGGCCAACAGATGAGGGCTTAGTTAAGAAGAACAACAACAAAATAACCAGTGAACTGTGTGTACCTAGTGTGCTTCTGCACTCAGCACACTCACATTCAGGTTTCAAAACACTGAGAAAGCTTGCAACAAATCGGGCCTGAATGCACCTGAATTCGACATTTGATACAATCCACTAAGTAGTCAGCCAGTCATAGGCAAATTCCACCCATTTTACCACATAGCATGGAAGAACAGGATCTACAGGAGAGAAATGTCAAAAATTATTTTAGCTTAAGGGACATTTTCAGAGGTCAATGGAGCAATGACTGCAGGCAACCAAAACAGTAAAGCTGAAGAACATAATTCCTTGAGAAAACTGTTGAAGGACACAAGTTCTATGTGGAAGGTAGTTGGGGGTCTATCTTCAGCCTCACCAAGACGAAAAAGCATTTCTTCATGCTGTCTTCACACACACACACACACACACACACACACACACACACACACACACACACACACACGGTTACAACTCTAGAAGTTAGGTTCTAAGTACAATTCATGTTGGTCAATGCCACCCTTTACACTATTGTCCCCTTTCATTCTCCTCCCATCCCTACCCTTGTTACTTAATTACATTGCTACATAATGTACATTCAGTATGTTGACCACATTTGCTTACCCTTATACCCTCCATTCCATTTATGTTCACACACATTTCTCTTCCTCCTCCCCCAAATAAGTTTCAGCTTCCCGATACTCATTTTGTTGAATACTTTGTTATTACCTGACACTTTGTAACTGAGATTTTAGCCTGTAATCCTAGCTATCTTGGAGCCTGCATCTGAGGACTAAGGATTGAAGCAGCGCTTGCAAACCCGTAACACTCTTATCTCCAACTCACCAGTAAAAGCTTTGAAGTGAGGCTGTGGCTCTAGTGGTAGAGCACCACCAAGGGAATATATCAAGCAAACCAAGTATCACCCATACCCAACAAACACACACTAATACTTTAGATATCTCCACCCTATTCTTTTCATCATCCCACCTAGGCAAATACAAATCCTGCCTCCTTCCAGAACTATCCTTTAGGAAATACTGCAGCCTTTTGAACAAAAACATACAAGACAGCAATGCTACTAGCACCACAGTCATGTGGAAATCAGGTGTTTATCCACTTCACTCATTTCATATATAGTAAATACCTAATAGCCATGTGGTAGGTACATAACTTGGGCAAAACCAGAGAAAGCTTCCTGCCTCTGGAGCTGACATGATGTCTCTGTACTCAAGCCTGTGTGTCACCCTACACAGGACTACTTGTCCACTGTGCTCAGCTTGTGCTCCTCTAGCTGATGAGCTGGAGCCTCAGTTCAGAGAAGAAACAAAGCCATCTAACGGGAATGCTTTATCATCAAGCCATCAGTGCAACTTGTATTAGCACTCTTCTTTCCTTCCTTTTATTTGGAAAGAAATGATGTTACTGGGAGATTGACCTAGTCCTATTCTTCATGTCAGCAG